CCACTGTGTTTCCCCACGAGCGGCGCTCGGTGCTGCCCAGTGACTGGGCCCCCCAGGGTGGGACTGACCTGCGCCGGCCGCCTCCTGCAGGCCAAGGTGACGGCAGCGGAGCAGACGGAGCGGGACATCGACGCCACGCGCCTGCAGTACGTGCCCGTCGCCGTGCGCACGCAGATCCTGTTCTTCTGCGTCTCGGACCTGGCCGGCGTCGACCCCATGTACCAGTACTCCCTGGAGTGGTTCCTGGGCATCTTCATGGCCGGCATCGCCAACTCCGAGAGAGCCGGTGCGCACTTCTCCGCCGTTCGGCATTCTAACACACCTTCGGTTCGGTTCAGTTTGTCATACGCACAAGTGCAGTGAAGTGCTAATGAAACCTTTAAACATCTAAGAGCTCACAACATGCAAAAAAGGATTTACTGAGTTTATTTATACATACAGTACGTTCCTGCCATCTTTAAAAAATGAGTTAATCTCGGCTTCCTTTCAGATCTCATTCTTGTTAATGTACTGTTGCCCACAGATAAGTGTGTTTAATAAGTCTTTAATCGGTTTAATAAGCTGAGGCTAATAATGTGCATGTGATGGCAGTATAAAGTCTGGGTGGAAACGGTGCTCTCTGACACTGAGTCTCAGCAGTGTCAGGCTGTGAGGGCTGTGTCAGAGGTTACATGAAACAGGAGACAGAGTGACTCTGTTCTCATCCTCAGCAGATGATTCAGGCTGCAAGGCACAAATATCAGCGTGAGTTCCTGAGTTTGAGAGTAAAATTACAAGAACACATCAGGATCCCTTCTGAGCTACAGTGCGATCTGTTAGCACTTTGCTCTTTCTTTCCTAATCCGATTTGCACCCCAGAAAGCGCACTTTCTGGGGTGCTGCCATGCGCTTCCCCCTCTCCTGACCTGGCCCTGCGTTTCAGACACGGTGGAGAAGAGGATCGTCAACATCAACGAGTTCTTCACCTTCAGCCTGTACAGCAACGTCTGCCGCAGCCTGTTCGAGAAGCACAAGCTTATGTTCGCCTTCCTGCTGTGCGCCCGCATCATGACGAACGAAGACAAAATCGATATGGTGAGACCCGTCCGTCTGCTTGTCCCAAAACACTGCCCTTCCCCATCCTTCCTCTTCCTCTGCACCCGCCCCCTGCTCCATCCCTGCAGGCTCTGCGTGGCTCTTCCCTCCAGAGCTCTCCAGACTAACAGAAGAGTGATGTCTGATCAGCTGAACCTGGCTATGAGCTGTGAAGCCTGTGAAATCCCCTAGGCTCCGTGCTCCGTGACACTTTATGTGTAATCAGGCATCTCGTGTGAACAGACTGGTAGGCCTGTATTGCACCTGCCTTGACTCCTGCTTGTCTCCTCCGGGCCCCAGGTGGAGTGGCGCTACCTGCTGTCCGGCGGGACCGTGCAGGGCCAAACTCCCAAGCCGGTGGCGGACTGGCTGTCGGAGCGCGCCTGGCAGGACGTCCTGGGGCTGTCGGCGCTGAGAAGCTTCTCCGACTTCGCCGAGAGCTTCACGCACAACCTGGAGGGCTTCAAGAGGATCTTCGACAGCGCGGAGCCACACAGGTGCGCCGCCCGCACAGGATGTGCTGTGGTGTGATCGATTAAAACGCCCAGCTCTGGCGAAAGCTGAAGCTTTGTGTGCTGGCTTGCTGGGTGAATTCCCTTAAAGCCAGCCTCCCTCAGGCTCGTTTCCAAGCACACCCCCTTAAACCTGCCAAGTCCGGGAGCAGAATGTGAACGTATGAGTCACGTCTGTTCCGGGCTTGGAAAGTTCCTGGAAAGTTCCTGATGAATACAAATCTCATGATCACTGGCTGACCTGCACATTATTTAAATGCCTGGCTGGTAACAAACGTCAACAAGCCTCTAGTATCTTCATTCTTGACCTTGAGGGAGCGGTTCTCATCCCGCACCCATGTGGCTCTGTGTTCTCCTAGGGAGGCGCTGCCTGCCGAGTGGGACTCCCGGATGGACTCTTTCCAGAAGCTGCTGGTCCTGCGCTGCCTGCGCGCCGACTGCCTGACCCTCGGGATGCAGGACTTCGTGTCGGCCCACCTGGGGCAGCGATTCATCGAGCCGCAGGTGCGCTCCCCACTCCGCTGGCCACGCGCCGGGTCGAGCTGAGTCACGCCGGGTCGAGCTGAGTCACGCCGGGTCGAGCTGAGCTGAGATGAGTGAATAATGAATAATGCTGTGGTGCTGAGGTGAGCTGCCCCATGCAGAATTGTGCTGAGTCGAGCCGAGTTGTGATGTGTCTCGCTGAGTCGTGCGATGCACTGGGAAAGGATTTTTGGTGACTGCAAGAGCCATCCATCAGTGATCACACTGAAGGGTTGTTTTCTGAGTCTTGGCCCTACCAAGGACGCCCTGTGCGTCATGTCTGAAGCAGCAGAGTTAGGTCCTTCAGGAGAGACACAAACCAAGGTCCTGCAGTCAGTGACTCTGCAGTGTCTCTGTTGATACCGATGTTTAACCCCCTGGTCTACATGGCTCCCTTGGAACAGAGAGGACTGCTGAGTGACAGTTTGTTAGCAATCAGTGGTCTTCTGAGAGCTGGGAGGCCCACGATTGCCGCTCACTCCGGTCGCGTTATTGATCGAGTCTTCTTTTCTCTGACGAGCGACCCTCCCTCATCGCCCCCTTCACCCTCTTCCTCGGTCTCCTCCTCTGCTGCAGACGGCGGACCTCTCGGCCGTGTTCAGGGAGTCGTCCCCCTCCACCCCTCTGATCTTCGTGCTCTCCCCCGGGACCGACCCCGCCGCCGACCTCTACAAGTTCGCCGAGGCCATGAAGTTCTCCAAGAAGCTGAACGCCATCTCCCTGGGGCAGGGCCAGGTGAGAACTGGGAAAAGTCCTGCTTGACCCACATCCTCCGAACCACCTGCTCCCGAGACAGAACAGGACAGAACAGAATCTTGTATGTTTTGTTTCTGTCACAACATCTCCGGTTATGAATTGTCCGGGTTCTTTCTGGACTGGATGCAGCCCTCTGTTAGGGCAAAGCAAGGGTAAAGCCATTGAAAATGACGGGCTTTCTCCTTTCCCAGCTGCAGGTGATGGACTGCTGATAAAAGCTTTTGTGTCTGACAGTGTTATTCCTGCCACAGCCCGGGGCTGTGCTTCACAGTGTGAAAGAAAGTGACGTCGCTGTGCTTGCGTACAGAGGGCTCTGACAGCTCCTCCTGCACTCTGTGAGGGAGATGTGAGCCCCTTGTACCCAGCACCAAGGGCGTGGTCATATTGTTCTTATCATGGTTGTGATATTTGGTGTGCAGGGCCCGCGGGCAGAGACGATGATGTACAGCGCCATGGAGAGAGGAAAGTGGATCTTCTTCCAGAACTGCCACCTGGCGCCCAGCTGGATGCCCTCACTAGAGAGGCTCATTGAGACCATTGACATCGACAAGGTGAGGCGCAGACAGGGGGCCAGGTGGACAGGCGGTAAGGTGGACAGGCTGAAGCATGCTCTGATGTGCAGACCGACCTGCAGACACACAAGCAGGCACAGCCTTATTGTCTCCAGAGTAGAACATATACCTTGCTCCTTATGGCATCCAACTATAGCAGGAGACAGAAACCAGTGTGGGAAGCACACTTTGTAGGACGCTGCAATGCCCGTTCAGTGAGCAGACTGAGCCCTATGTACCAGACATCACCAGTGTAGGACAACCGCAACCTGGCCAGAATTGTCCAGACAGTGGAGCACAGTGGCAAGGTCAGCCAGGCCATCCTTGTTCTGCCGGTCAGCAGGGCCGGGCCTGCGATGACCCATGTGACTGTGAGCCTGTGCCAGTCCACCTGCCCCCGATGAAAACTGCCTCTCCTGGCACTGAGGGACTCACAGCCTGACAGTGGCAGAGGATTCTGACAGGGCGAGTCTTATAGGAAAGCACACATTGCCCTTGATCCCCTTGGTTCATAGAGGAGGGATACCAGTAAGCTGAGCTGTTAGCCACTGGCAGCTCCAGTGTGTGAGAAACAGCCGGTTCCAATTAAAAATGAAAAGCAGACAAGACCCTAGTGACTGTGCCTTCCCCCCGATCTCTGATTCCAGGTGCACCGGGATTTCCGCCTGTGGCTGACCAGTCTTCCCAGTAACAAGTTCCCAGTGTCCATCCTGCAGAACGGCTCCAAGATGACCATCGAGCCCCCCCGCGGCATCAAGGCCAACCTGCTGAAGTCCTACCTCAGCCTGACGGACGACTTCCTCGGCTCCTGCTCCAAGGTGGGGCGCGCTCGGAGAGCAGGAGCTCTCTCGGGGTCCCCTGCTCCAGCCACATGTCCTGCCCCTCTCCACTGCCCCCTCTTCCTTTGCTCTCTCTCTGTGTCTCTCTTGCTCTCTGCTTCTTCAGCCAGATCCCAGCCCTTATCTCACATTGCTCACACGCTCCCTGCCTTCTTCCCTCCCTTCCTGCTGTGCTACTGTTCCCACTGCACGATTCTGTTCCTGCTCCGGTTTTTTGATGAAACGGTGTGGCACTTGCGCGCTGCAGCTGCTGCCCCGGACGTCTGCTTTGCTCCGGCTCACCCTGTGCTTTGTCGGCCCTCGCGCCGAGCGACCGTCTCGGCTGACGCTGTGTCCCCTCTGCAGGTGGGCGAGTTCAAGTCCCTGCTGCTGTCGCTCTGCCTGTTCCATGGCAACGCCCTGGAGCGCAGGAAGTTCGGCCCCCTGGGGTTCAACATCCCGTACGAGTTCACCGACGGGGACCTGCGCATCTGCATCAGCCAGCTGAAGATGTTCCTGGACGAGTACCAGGACATCCCCTACAAGGTGCGGCGGCCCTGTGCCCGCGCCGCTCAGCTCAGCTCAGTCTGCAGCGCCGGCGCACAAGACGGCAGAGTTCATTGGCACAGGGGGCGTATCAGAAAACACAAAAATAGAAGTAGCAGGAAGAGCAGGCATCAGTCACCTCTCTGCCCGGTCCCTCAGTCCTGCAGCGCTGACCGGCCATTAACACATGACGTGATATTGATGGATGAGTGTGGAGAGCAGCCCAGGCAATGCCTCATACCCTCCAGATAATCTGTCTCACTCAGAATTCTCCTTCTGAGAATGAATTAATTAAATCTTAGGAAGAACAGGTCATATTATGCATCGCACATGCAGACTAGCTCTATGTGATCAGTGAGATTATTTTTCAGTGCTTTAAGCAGTGTTGTATTAAACAGAAACATTAGAAAACAATGCTGGCAGTAACCAAACAGTGGATTGGGGACAGAACAGATACAGTATGTGCGTGATATACCCAGTATCTTATCTTATTTGCAGTTATATGCACTGTGTGGATAGTGGCGACCAACTGTTGACTCTCTTGGTTGCGTGCTTCCCCTTGTTCTCCAGGTGCTGCAGTACACAGCCGGGGAGATAAACTACGGGGGACGTGTGACGGATGACTGGGACCGTCGCTGCATCCTCAACATCCTGCAGGATTTCTACTGCCCTGCCGTGCTGAACGAGGAGCACGCCTACTCCCAGTCCGGCATCTACTGCCAGATTAGCACCACCTTGAACCTGGGCGTGAGTGATCTCTGA